ACCTCCATCTGCATAACCTAGCGCTCAGCATGTGACACGTGATAAGGGCGTTTTTGGAGTGGACTGGCTGTGTCGCTGTTGATGCGGTGGGTTGCGGCACTTGTGCGGCCCAGAAGACGGTCGTCGATGTGAAAGTTATTCAGGTAAAAAAATAGAACACCCCGGAGCGCTGCAACTTGAAAAGTTATGAGGTCGCTGGATATCATTTTGTCGAGGAACGCCTTATATTGCGAGGTGATGACAGGTTTCACCATGGTCTCAGTGTCCGCGGAAAAGAACAAATTGATTATTCATCAAGGGTGGAAAGATCAGCCAAAGTGATACCTTGGGGAAAGAACTCGGGTCGACGTAAAGAAGTTCAGAACTGGAAGTAGCACCGTGTTGTTAGCAACAACACGGCCCTACTTCCAGTAGGTACGGCGAGCACTAGTCATGGCTGCCCGTTAGAATGATATAAAATGTTCTGGGGAAGCGTGCGCGGTCTGGCTAGCTGTTGTTGTTATTGAGTCTGTCAGCTCAGTTCTTTCGAGTAAAAGACATTTCGTTGCACCTGACAATAAGACCACTTCTGGTACAACAGATCAATCGTTGCATATACTACACAGGTGCGTGAGTCATAAAATGAACACGCGGCGAGAAAGGAGGATGATGATGATAATCCTGATGATTCGTATGAGCAGCTGAAGAGGATGAACTACACGGTCAGCACTAACACTATTTTCTCCTTCACGAAAATGGTCAGCAAGACGTCCATTTTGAGGTGGTACGAGCACCAGATATAGGGTTTCAGGCGAGACACATGGGCAATCTCCATCCCAAGACGACGGCGGTCAGTGGCCGAAATAACTGAGGCAACGCGATAATTCACGGCCAATGTTCGTTCAAGCATGGTGTTAGGGCCCGTGCATCTGCGAACAAATTTTTCACACAGCCCGAGTGTGCGAACAGGTGTCCAGACGAGCACTTCGTCGCCTGGGTATAATCAAAATCTCGACGTGTCACATTACAGTAAACTTTCCGTTTGGCCAGAATGGTAGTCGTGTTGGCAGAGGCAATTTCACGGCAGCCGGTGGCAGGGCAAGCGAACTCGTCCGGCAGAGTTGCACATCGAACAGAAGGCGCGGAAGAAAACAAGTGTGCCGAACGAAGATGGTTCTCGGCCATACACAAGAAAAAATGGTCTGTAACTTGTAGTGCTTTGAAAAAGAGCGTTTTAGGAGAATGGGCCGGAAGGTAGCATTTTGTCACTGTTCTTGTGATCGGGCTGGACAAACATGTATATATCATGTGAGACAAAGTTCTATGAAAAAGCTCGGCGACACAATTTGTCTGCGGATGGTATACTGAGGTGGTCTTATGGATAGTTTCAAAGGCCTGTAGGACTTCAGCGAGGACATAAGAAATAAAGGTTTACCACGGTCACTTAGGATAAGGCGAACAGCGCTTTGGCACAAGATGACAGCACGCAGGACAAAATCGACCAGATTGGAGGCAGCGCCACTAGGAAGAGGTGTCGTCTCAGCGTAGCGAGTAAGGTGGTACAAGGCTGCAACAATCCAGCGGTGATGGGTGGGTGTAAGCGGAAGGAGTCCGTATAGGTCAGGGCCGATGAATCTGGAGGGAACTCACGGGCATGGCAGAAGTTGTAGAGGGCCGGTGGGAAGAAAGGTCGAATGTTTTTGGTGCTGACATGACGCTAGAAAGCGACATACTTGGAAACACTAGTGGAGAGGCTAGGCTAGAAGCAGCGAGTCTTGATGCATTCGTAGATTTTGTGAAAACCTAAGTGGCCCACTGTCGGGTCATCATGAATTGTTTCTAAAACTTGGAGTCAAAGTGAGGGACGTAAGACCGGAACCCATTGGCTACCGATAAGATGGTAATTTTGCCGATGCGGAGCTCCATAGTGAAGTGTGAAACGCGTGAGTTGTTGTAAACGGCTGTTAGGAGCCCGGGATAAGTCGGTGCGCCAGTCAATGATTTTACGACAGCATGTCTCTTCGCGTTGTAGCGAGGCAAGGGTGGTGGTGTGAAGGAAGTCATCTGGTGCCGTGAACTCGACAGGACTAATACTGGTCATCTGCTTGATTACTTGGCTGGGAGGTGCCGCACAGCACGTAGATGTGTCATGGTTACTTTGCAACAGGGGACGGCGTGACAAATCGTCGGCATCTTGGTGTTTTTGCCTCCACCAGTTTGCGACAGTTTTTTCCTACTTCTGCAGTCGGAGCATGCAACAGCCTAGGCGTCCTGACAAGTTCTTGAGAGAGAACAACCCATAGAGCACATTTTGGTCCGTCACAATTGTAACATGGCGGTGGTACAAATAGAGACGGAACTTTTGCACGGACCACATGATAGCGGGATATTCATACTCAGTAATGCTGTTTTCCGTTTTGCAGCAGACAGAGTACGGCTCGCGTATGCCAAGACTTACTCTTGCGAAGCTTGGTCATGCTGCAGCAGGACAGCGCCGATTCCATCCTCACTCGCTTCAGCCTGTAAGATAGTAGGAACTTTGGCATCAAATTGGTGAAGAACTGGCCCTGACGTGAGGCCTCACTTTAGGGTCTGAAGAGCAGCTTCAGAGTCATCTGTCTAAACAAATGATGCACTTAGGGTCAAGAGTTTGCGAAGAGGAGCGGCTGTAGTGGCGAAATCACGGACAAACTGGTAGAAACGTGATGCTAAGCTGACGAAGCTGTGAACGTCTTTTAGCGTGATGGTATTAGGAAAATGAAACAAGGCAATGACCATGTCGGGATCAGGTTCAATCCGAAGCTTTCGCCCAATGTAATCTAACACTTTGATGCTGCGGCTCGCTAATAGGCATTTTTAGTATTGAATTGGAGGGCGCATTTGGCTAGTCAATTTAATTCCTCCTCTAGACATTCTTGGTGTTGCGAGAAGCTGAATGAGAAGATGACGATATCGTCAAGGTAACAAAAAAGGTCTTCAGTTTATTGCCCCGCAATACCGTACCAATCCTTCGTTCAAACGTCGCTTGGGCATTGCAGAGCCCGAAAAGTATCACGTTGAATTTAAAGAGGCCATCATAGGCAGCTATTTCTGTTTTCTTTTTATCAGACTTGTGCGCTGGGATCTGTCAATAGCCAGATCACAAGTCGAGGCTTGAATATTATTCTGTACTCTGTAATATGTCAAGGTCAATTTCAAGGTGATTTTAGTTAGTGCCATGTAATCAACGCGAAGTCGTACTGATCCGACCTTTTTCTTACCTAAGCAAACAGGAAAAGACCAAGCGCTTACTGAAGGCTTCATAAAGTTTCTGCGAGCAGGCCACTGACTTGTTTCTCGATAATTTTGCGTTATGGAGAACACACGGTAATGGCAACGCCGAAGTCTACGAGACCACTCTGTGTCGATGCGCTGAGAGGCCACCATACTTTGACTCAAGCCATCCGAACAAACATTAAACAAGTTTGGTGCTTCATTTAAATGGCCAGTGAGTCATGAGGAGTCAGATCTGAAGTGGATTTGAGCGCATTATACGAGAACTCCTGAGATCATAGACTAATCGACTGATGAGGAATACAGTGATGACCCATAGCGTTGATGTGCCGATAAGACTGGCTACAATGGACCCCTCTGGCAGTAGTCGTGGCGTTGTTGCGTTGTAGCAGTGACCTAGCATGACCACTTGAATACTGCACTAAACAACAGGCGAAGGCTGTTCCTCAGAACACGAAGCACTGATAACTGGATAACCCCTGCGTCACCATCAATAGGATGTGTTGACCTAATTGTGAGAATGCGTTCTTGGGCTGAAGGCAGTACAAAATCTGCAGCTGCCATAAGGTGAGCCAACCAGAAATTATAAGCACTAAAATACTCAGTGCACGGAATGCAATGAACGAGGGACCACATGAAATGACAGCGGAAGCAGCTGACTGGAAGGTTGTGGCGTGCTACACGTGAGGTACTATATCTCTATGTTTACCACGATGCTGCTACTATTCCGGATTTTTACTTTATATTTATTTTTCTTGCTATTTTTGTATGCGGCCATAAAGCTGTTTTAAACACAGCTTTCTTTTCACGGTTCTTTTTGTGTTTACTACAGAACAAAAAATAAACTTTATTTGATTTGAAATGTTTCGGCTGCATTGCACAAATATTCTTGCATGTTTCTTGTAACATATGTCAGGCCCAATGTGTTTGTCTTCATCTGCTTTCGCAAAACACAGAACTCGTTCTTCGCCCAAAAAAAAGAAATTTAATGTTTTTTTGGGTGGTACATCTCGATACGATGTTACACTTTGTGCTATATTACGGTATGACTGCTATTCGCCACAGTGAACACTTCTTCCGTGTTCTTTCAGTTTTTATAGCTATTTTATGTATGATAAAACATTTAGCTATGATAAAACATTTAGCTGAGCACCTGTGAGTCAAAACTGTCGCGCAGTACGTGATGTATGAATTGCGAATATGCAGCTCCTAGATATGATTTCACAATGGCTCACTATAATTTTAAATCACTCGCTTGACTGTGGCTATTCAGTTTGAATAAAGTCGTCTTTTGTCAAAGGTAATCAACACGGCTTTTTAAAGTTATCAATGATAGTATATAGCGCGTTTGCCAATCATTGAATAAAGAAGTAAGCAGTCAACCAAGGTCCTGGGCTTTATTTGATTGATTGATTGATATGTGGGGTTTAACGTCCCAAACCACTATATGATTATGACAGACGCCGTAGTGGAGGGCTCCGGAAATTTAGACCACCTGGGATTCTTTAACGTGCACCCAAATCTGAGCACACTGGGCTTTATTTCAATAGAACTCTCAAGTAAACAATTGATGATTATTAACTCTAACAAACTCGCCCAACAATCAGTGCTGTTGTTTTTATGAATTCAGAAAAAAAGTGAAACACAACTTCAGGGTGTTTTGCACCTATTCCACCTACAAAAACACGACGCGAAATTAGTATCATTGCTGCAGCCAAAGAAGACACTAACTTTTTTGTTCCTTTCAGCTGGCGCATGCCCGTTTCAAGTACTTAAAATCTCGAACAACAAGGTGGGTATTTAGTGATGTTCATACTGATGAAATATCTATGTTTTTATAAGTATTGGCTTTTAGCTGTAGAGGCCTACTATACCTGCTTGATGCTCCCATTTCATGTACTGATTTTATGGAAATAACAGCAGAAACATAGTTAATGGGTACATCATATAAATCAGTAAAAGAAGATAGTGAACCGTGCCAACACAAATTGAGTTGATTGGTCATGATACACTCACGTATGAGCGATTGCACAATTTCTGTTGGGTTTGGTGCTTGACATGAATGCACTGACGATGGAGCTTATTGGCGCACCTCTTCCGCAATGACTAATGTCCATAATCATGAATGAGTCTATGTGGAAACTGTAGTTAACATACACGTAGGCACAACGTGCAGTCCATTCCGTGCAGAGATAGAACGGGCACAAAATAAACACGAGGGCTCAATGTGCGTTTACCCGAACCTTCTCCATTTGGCGAGAAAGCCAGGTTACACGCTCCGCAACAATAACGTAACATACAAGTGTGCTAAGACCATGTCTTCTATATTTTTAATACAGAAAGGACTGCTTCGCGCGTGTGCTACGATGCGCTCAAGGAATGGAAAAGCGGAAGTTCACAGCTGGAGCTGTTAACCAGGGGAGGCGTTCGTCTTCCCGCTGGTGTGTCTTCCTCTGCCTAAGTGCACACTGTGCGTCATTTTTCGATAGACGTGGTCACTTTTCTGGCCTGCTTATTGCAGCAGTTTTACGAGTTGATGCTATCACACTGGAACCAATAGATGGCGTTGAAACAACGAGATCACGTCTGGCAGCTGGGATACCCAAGCGAAGAGGTGCCATATAGTAACACTAATTAAAAAAGAACCCATCGTACATAATCAACGAACCTAATCACCACATGCGACGCATTGCACCGATCGTACAGCGTCTAGTAATGATGCGCCGAAAGCCTCCATTTGCAGAGTTCGTTCACAAACTCTGTGTCAGGGGGTGGAGCATGAGGCATCTATATGAGTGTATTGAGGTGTCTGTGGTTTATTCACCAGGTCATCAAAATCAGCAAATCAATCGTTGTTGCCTGTCCGCGTGTAATATACCGACATCGCTTCCGTTACGGATAATGTAGTTATTGAAGTCTTTGTTACTTCTAGAAAAAAAACATTTTTGTATTAGAATGAAAAATATATACAAGCAGTCTACACTTGCTATATTCAATACGTTATTATGAGTGGATCATCCGAGGACAGAAGCAAATAAATGTACCTTTTTTTTTAATTTTCAAATCCACGATCAAGTGTCGCTTTCACATGAATCTTCGAAAGGAATAATAAGTGTAACCAGTGAGAGTGCTAAAAATATAAATTGGTCAATGCGTGGTCATGGTACGTCCTCGCCAAGCTTTACCTGGTATGCGACAGAAGTGCCATATTCCTGCTTTCTCCTGTGTGCGATAACGTGGTGAACACAATTTCGACAGTTGATTTCATACTATACACGAATATTACCTTGCAAGTAAAACAAAATACTACGGTACCTTGCATAAGAGCTCTGTGTTTTCTCTTTCAGTCGTTGATAATCAACTGCACCAATGAATGTGGTTACGGACTGAGCGATGGAGAGCCGTGTGTGGTACGTAAACATAGGGCCTACTTTGTACTGCAATAGAGATGCCGAAGGGAACTAAAAGATTTTAAAATTAGGAAAAATATAGTGTAAAGGAATATAAACAAATATGACATGTGCAAGTAAGTGTTATAAAATTATTTACAATTAGGGCGTCATGTAAGTCGAAAATTTTCTATCGGAAGTATTTGTTCATTTGAGTCGTCCGACAAGATAATTGAATAATGATTGTACAACCTTAGGCTTCTTGAAGGTCTGAACACTGGGACTAATACGTTGCTGAACGTTAACATGTCGTGGCAAATCAGTGCATTGTCGTTGAAACACTCGTCTCTCGTCAACGTGCGCGGGGTCTCTTAAGAGTGTGTGTTCTGCAATGCCTATGTTGCGACAGCTTCCGCAACAGAGATATGTGCTACGTCTTCTGGGGTACGAATAACTGTTCGTGTATGGCACACGCCATCGAAGATTACGATATAATGCCTCGAGGTGAGACGGTGACTTTATTAAGGATTCTACGAATCGCTAGAATACACTTGGTCTCTTCATATTGTCACGACTAGTTGGTTCTAGAAAACGAGCATTTAAAATGAAGTTGGAAAAAATTGGGATTTCCCACGTACAGTGGGAATCGATGATATGCAAAGCATGAATGAGCAATGTTATTATGTCACTTTAAAATCAGCACAATGTCATGAGGTAGAGGTAAATGATGCTGTACATGACTTCCGTGTCACGAGTATCATGTTTGGATGTGTTGTTTGCCTTTGTCACCTATCCACGTCACGCGATACCGAAATTAGTATATGTGGAGCTAGCGAAACGGCCACGAGCAAGCTATCAGTGTGGATTGTTGTCATGTTCTTACATGCCACGCGTTTTTGGATTATCGTGTTTGCACCAGTCATATATTTCGTCATCCATAGGCGTCACGTAACACCATACTTGGTATATGTAGAGCTAGCAAAACAGCCGCAAGCGCATCATGAAGGGCCCAATATTCTCCAAAGTAGCGTTGACGCGCGTGAACTCTGGGCACAGCGACGCTACGTTAGCAAAATGTGACCAGCGCTACCAGCGTTCGTCAGCGTGGTTCGACGGCAACCGGCTCAAAATAACGACATGCTGCGTTTCGCAGAACGTCTATCCGAAACCCTGTAAGGGCCTCACGAAGGCGGAGGAGCGAATCCTCCTTCGCGTATATACTAAAACACTATTGTGCCCGGCAATCATAAAACACTTTGACCCCGCTTGCACGGGAAAGTGCCCGCATTGTGAGGAAAATTCCTCTGACATTTTCCACGTGGTGTGGGCATGCCAAAAAACCCCAAACCTTACCCCACAGCCGAACCCTTCGCGGGAGGACTGGGAGGCAGCCCTGCTCGGCCGCTCTGACCTGACGGCCCAACGGGCCCTGGTCGAGCGGGCCCGGGCCGCGGCCAACGCCAATGGGAGCTCACCTAAGAGGGAGCTCACCTAGTGTTTGTACGGGGCGGTCCCTTAAGGACAGTTCCCACCCTCCCTGTAAATAACATCTGTAAATAAATGTTTTTCAGCAGCAGCGTTTCGCGCGCATGCATTACCCAGACAACACTGCGCCTCCCCTTTTCGTGACGGAGGGACTTCGGACGCGTGACACGCGCATGCGTCAAAGCAACGCACTGCGGCGCGCGCCTGTGAGTATATGGCAGGACCGGTGCCTAGCGTGGCAACGCCGGAGTGACGCGATGAAATGAACGCCAACGAGCACGCGCACCGCGTCCCGTCGAAATGTATTGGCGCCTTGACTGTGGCATGTAGTCATATTCTCACATGACACACAGCTCATGATTGTCATGTGTGCACCAGTCACGTACCTTGGTCATCCACAGAAGTCGCGTAATACCAAATTTGGCATCTGTGAAGCTAGTGAAACGGCCACTAGCACATCATGAGTGTGGCATGTAGTCATGTTGTGACATGACACACATGTCAGGATTACCATATTTGTATGCGTCTTTATCTCTGTTATTCGTTCCCGTTCCGTAATAGCGAACTTGGTACATGTGAAGCTAGCGAAACGGCTGCGGGCGCTTCATTATTGTAGCATGTAGTCATGTTTTTACATGACACGCATGTCATGATTTTTATGTGAGGGTCTGTCATTTGTGTTTGCAATGCAGTCATGTCATACCATACCATTTTCGCAACATGTCATGTAAAAGAAACCACCGCAAGAGCAGCAAGATCACGAAATGTAAATCATGACATTCATTACATACATGTCATGATTTTCGTGTTGTGACTAGTTAGTTATATTCGCCTCACAGCCATGTTATGTCATACCAAGTTCGGTATTGATATCGTTATCCGAACGGCCAGGTGAGCTAAAAGTCGTGAGCGGCTAGATAGATAGAGAGATAAACTCAAGGTCGCTGAAGTTTGCCATGAAACGCTTCGCATTTAAAGCCTACCGTTCTCGAAGCCACACAACGAAGACAGTACAATTAATACCGTTCTGGATATTACATGCTTCGGAAATTGCATGCACCATTTCATACAGCTGTGCTATGGTGACGGAATAATGAGGCCCGCAAAAGGAACTTTCCTATTTTAGAAGGAACATTTATTCAACAGTGCGACTCTAAGTTCAGAAGTTCACAGCTACGTTAAATTTGGACACAGGTATCCACTGCACTTCGTCTACGTACTGAGGATACTGCCCCGCCGCGGTGGTCTAGTGGCTAAGGTACTCGGCTGCTGACCCGCAGGTCGCGGGTTCGATTCCCGGCTGCGGCGGCTGCATTTCCGATGGAGGCGGAAATGTTGTAGGCCCATGTGCTCAGATTTCGGTGCACGTTGAAGAACCCCAGGTAGTCTATATTTCCGGAGCCCTCCATTACGGCGTCTCTCATAATCAAATTGTGCTTTTGAGACGTTAAACCCCACAAATCAATCAATCAATCAGGACACTAGACATAAGTGTCACTGCGACTGAAATGCTATCAGAACATGCCTGTGTCAACCGATAATTTCTCGTGCTTTGATCTTGTAGGGGACAGGCTAGACGTTCCAAGCCTAGTCGCATAACTGGCAGACGTACAAGACACTCGTTTTTTACCAATCATGCCATTTAGCAACATAAACGCCAGCGGCAAGAGTTAGTGGATGCACCAGGGAACATAGTAGCCTCTTAGCTGGGAAGAAAAATTAAAGTGCAAATGCCCGGTTAGTAACGTGTTCGTGGGCACTAGTATAAAAAGCTGCAGCGAAGTGCTTATCAAATGAGCTTCTTGTATATTTGGTTTCAAGTAAAAATAACGCATGTTGCTTAGCGGGTCAATCGCACATCATTAACAAAGATCTTGCTAAACTTTTTTTCCGTGTTTCTTTTGCGCAGAAGCTTGTTCTATAATTACGTTGGATAGAGATGCCACTACCTTGGACAGATATTCTGCTTTGTCTTTAATATTGTCACGGGATCATGACGTGGCCAAAGACAGGAGACTTTATGTTGGGATTTAACAGTTTATTTGGGCAAACCTGTGCCCGGTGAACGGAAAAGTTCGATTACAGTAGCAGTCTTGCACAGATAGCAGTGAACGGAGCGTCGGCCGTCGATCAACTACTGACAAGCGGCGAAGCGCGTTGGCATTTATACTCTTGCCGTCGAATGTTCTAGCGTTATCGCTGGTGGTGGCGTAGGTTCCAGAATAATCTGTACAGTTCGCGGAGTGGGTGTGATCTTATCGAAATGATTTACTAAGGTCTGGAAGCTTCTCGAAAAGTGCAGGCATGGTTTGCGCTGAGAATTGTGTAGTGTTTTGGGACGATAACAAAACTAGGAAAATGGAACGTGGCATTACCCCCTTCTGAAAAAGGCATCGTCCCGATGCTTTAATTAAAGATGAAGGTACAACAATGATGCAAGAAAGTACAGTGAATAAATTACAATACAATAATAATACAAAAAACACTTTTTCAGTTTGTCAACGCGCATGAAACGGTTTGAGGCGCGCGACATGGACGACTTCAGGTCGCGATCGGCGTCGTTTAGAGTTCATGATGCCGTCGGGGACAACTTCGTAATCAAGTGGGCCGAGACGTCGAACCACCCTGTATAGTCCGAAGTATCGTCGCAGAAGCTTTTCACTTAGTCCACGTCGGCGTATCGGCGTCCACACCCAAACACGTTCACCGGGCTGATATTCCACGAAGCGTCGTCGAAGATTGTAACGGCGGCTGTCTGTCGTCTGTTGATTTTTATACGGAGACGCGCGAGTTGTCGGGCTTCTTCGGCGCGTTGAAGGTATTCACTCACACCGAGGTTTTCTTCGTCGGTGACGTTGGGTAACATGGCATCGAGCGTCGTTGCCGGGCTCCTTCCGTAGACCAATTTGTATGGAGATATCTGCGTCGTCTCCTGCACCGCCATGTTGTATGCGAAGGTCACGTACGGAAGAATGGCGTCCCACGTCTTGTGTTCGACATCAACGTGCATTGCCAGCATGTCGGCGATCGTCTTGTTAAGCCGCTCGGTGAGGCCATTGGTCTGTGGATGGTACGCTGTCGTCCAGCGGTGGTTTGTCTGGCTGTATGCCAAGATCGCTTGAGTTATGTCGGCAGTAAATGCCGTTCCTCTGTCGGTGATAAGGACCTCCGGGGCGCCGTGACGTAGGACGATATTTTTGACGAAGAACTTAGCTACCTCGAATGCACTGCCTTTGGGAAGGGCTTTTGTCTCGGCGTAGCGGGTGAGGTAGTCGGTAGCTACCACGATCCACTTGTTTTCGAAAGCTGACGCCTGGAACGGCCCCAGTAGGTCCATACCAATCTGCTGGAAAGGTCGGCAAGGTGGTTCGATTGGCTGCAGAAATCCCGCTGGCCTTGTCGGCAGTGCCTTGCGTGACTGACAGTCCTGGCATGTCCTCACATAACGAGTGACGTCGGTGGTAAGATGTCACCAGTAGAACATTTCTTGTATCCTCGCGAGCGTGCGAGAAACACCGTGGCGCCCTGCCGTCGGA